TTCCTTTGATGAAATACTCTTTCAGGAAAAATTTTCCAATTTGCTGAATAGCATGAAAAGCTGATACCATAACATCAAAGGTGGACAAATAGTAAAGAATTTTCTAGTTTTGACATTTTCAGAAGCAACGAGCTTCAAAAAAACATGAATGAACTAATAGGTTGAAACGCTCAAAATTTACTACTGTTTCAGGAGTTATCTACTTCAAAAATGAGATACTGCATCAACGTTAAAACATGTGCTGGTCGACCTTTAAAAAGCGGCCAGCTTCTTTGTAGCTTATACAGTGCTGATTTATATTAACCGGACAAAACGCGTTAAACTTGAAATTTAAAACGCGTTTTTCTCAAATTGGGTTGAGTTTAGGTGAAAGCTTATGAAGACAAAACTTGCTTAAAATTTTAGCAGAATTAATATGGTTCAATTTGTTTTGCGAAATTCGGGCCCGAAATGTTACCCCAAAAATGGGTCATTTTGGTTTTTCTTAGTTAATCAAAAATTACGCCGAAAATACCCAGTCGATTACAGACATAATTGTATCAATGTGAGCCCCTTACGTAGCCCAACAAAAAAAATTTAAGAAGGTTATAATCTCCAAAACATTGTATAACTTAGTTTATTTTTGTTTGATAGAGAAAAAAAGTCTTTTTTTTACTATATAAGATACCAACTTTTTATTTAAAAACAATTTTTAAACAATTTGCATTTTTTCAGGAGAAAATACCCTTTCTTAAAGTTTGTTGGGCTACGTAAGGGGCTCACTTTGATATAATTATGTCTGTGATCGACCGGGTATTTTCGGCGTAATTTTTGATTAACTAAGAAAAGCCAAATGACCCATTTTTTGGGTTAAAATTTCGGGCCCGAATTTCGCAAAACAAGTTATATAAAGTTAATTCTGCTAAAATTTTAAGCAAGTTTTGTCTTCATAAGTTTTCACCTAAACTCAACCCAATTTGAGAAAAATGCGTTTTAAATTTCAAGTTTAACGCGTTTTGTCCGGATAATTTAAATCAGCACTGTAGTCATTGATCCTGTTTTCGGACGTTTTTCTCTTGTTTTCACATAACAAAAAGGTTGACTGCATATCGGACACCATAAAAATCTTCTTTTATCATAAAGAACACCAAGTTTTTCAAAATGGAACTCGTTTTAAAGTCTTTAGCATTGATTTTTAATTTTATTCTTAACCCGTAATTTAGGTTTTCAAATGATTTTCCGCGGTCCATTTAGTTTTTAATATCGGGTGATTGCAAAGTCTAGGTTGCATGTTGTGTGTTTGTTTCGATTTTTTTAAATTTTATGAAGAATAGAAATTGAATAAAATGATGAAAAAGTTATCAACAATTTTACAATTCACGAAAAACTTTAATCAATTTTAAATCAAAGACAAGCTGAATTCAGCAAAAAGACATGTTTTACAAAAACGCATCATTCGGTCTTTTGGTGATTCGATTATTTGCCCCGCCACATTTGGCAATAAGTTCAAAGCGAATTAATTGGCCTTATCAAACATTCGCTGCAACCTTGGGTTCTAAACTACAAGTAGCAAGAAGATGGTATTTCATCAACTGTGTCCCCCACGGGTATCGAGTTAGTGCGAGTATCGACACGGAGGCTGTAAAAGAGATAAGAGACTGCAGATTTGCAAGTGTGTTCAAAGTACTCTTCACACACTTGGCTTTTAAATTTCAATTATTGATGGTCGTGTTTGAGAGGCAACTTGTTCTGCGGTATCCTAAATCAACCCTGTTATCATTGAAATATAGGGAAACAATTACATGGAAAAGAAGTAATTACATGGACGAAATAAAATAACAAGGTTTCTGATTCTTTTTAGTTTAGAGCTCACAAAATATTGGCCTGGATCGAACAAGTCAAAATATGGTCAAATTGAGCGTGATCGAACAGACAAACTTTTCAGATTTAAAATACTGAATCGATTTCGATCTGATGGTCTTAGTAAACAGGGAGAGGGGGGAGGAGGGGGGTTCTCGAAATGTGTTTAGAAAAACATACCGAACTCAAAGTCGGGTATATGCGTTAAAAAGTTTTGAAAAAAAAATATCATTTTGACTAATTGTTTTGACAAAAATGATTTTCAGAGCTCACATAACTAAAAATAAATATTTTGGCGTTGCCTGCTTACTATAGAAAGAAATTGACAGAATTCACATACGGTTTTGATTCTAGAATCCAAAGTTGAGCATACGGTTTTGACTTGTTTCTAATTTTACCACCGATGCCTCTCTTAGAACTATTTTTGGCACGAGTGATAAGAAAGAATGTCGTAAGTTTGTATCAAAGGCAGGAACTTGTAAGCGGTCGGGGTTTGAAAAAATTTCTAGATTGATCGAATATGTGGTTGAATGTTGCGAAACACGCTATTCTAATTATTGTTCAAACTTTTGAAAAAACTGCGAGTTATTTATGCTTGAGGTGGTTTTTTTTATTCAGTCAAATTTCGGCAAAAACACTAGTTTTTAACAAAAGTCTTCTTCCTCATAGAAGATATCGTTTCCCTGATTTCACCTTGAAAATTAATTTTTGCCTCTGAAGTTTTTTGTAATAATATTTTTATGATTTAAAACTTGCTCTTGTTGTTCCGACTTTTGATACGAAAGTAACGGAATATTTGTGCTCGGGGTGGGTTTTTTTTTTCTTCAGACAAACTTCGACTTTTTAACTAGCCATTTTTGACGGAATTTTTTTATATCATTCAAAAGGTATTGTTGTCCTGAGCTCAAATTTGAAAAGATATTTCACCTGTGATCATTTTTTGTAAAGTTATGGGGGTTTAAAGATTGCCATTTTGGCCAATTTGGGACAATTAACGCGCAATATATTTCGCGCTATTAACGCGTAAGCGGAGATTTAATCCGTCTTAAAATCGTTCCAAATTGGTTAAAAGAAGCTTATTTGCCATAATTGATTAGTTTTAACGAGCTAAATCTATCTTTTTGTACTTTAAATGGCGTGCTCGCATAAATTGAACAAGACTGCTCGTATCAGGGCGAAGCCCTGAATGTTCCGACTGCCTTTTATGGTTTTCTGGAGCAGTAATAACATTAAAAAATCAAATGTAATTGGAGGTTTTTCATAAAAAAAATTCAAAATTAAAAAAAAAAATTTAAAATTTTATTACATTTAATTTTTTAATGTTATTACTGCTCCATAAAACCTTAAAAGGCAGTCGGAACATTCAGGGCTTCGCCCTGATACGAGCAGTCTTGTTCAATTTATGCGAGCTTTAAACGTTTAATTTATGATGCTGAAAGCATATAGCGAATTGCTTGAGCAAATTTTCCAAAAGTATCAAACTGAACTGACGCAAGCTAGTTGTTGGTAATTAGAATGATTTGAAGAATGATTTGTGAAGAGTGATTTGCAAAAGAAATCAAAAATTTACTTAAAATTATTTTATTTTTTTTTTTAAAGAAAATTCAAAATAGAATTCTGTGTTAGAAACAATATTTGGCGGGAACACTCAGCGCGTCGTCCTGATACAAGCAGTCAGGTGTTTTCTTTTTTATTTTAATAAAATTTTACTTTCTGTTGATTTTTCTGAAAAACTTCAGGCAAGCTTGATTCGGCTGTTTTTTTTTGTGATATAATATTTGGAGTTGAAATTACCTTTTTTTACTCCCTTTCAATGTGACTGAATCGATCCCATTGAAAAAATTGAATTTCATGTAACAATTTATCATCACGATATCTTGATTAGTTGTTCAGTTTTAAATTTTCTCTGCAACTTTGAGTCTTGTTTCTCATTTTTTTAATATTTTGAACTGCTTTTGAATTTTTTTAAACAAATTGACAAAAAGATATTTGTCCAAACGTTTGGTTGTTAAGGGTTCCAACAAAGGGGGTGGTTCTGGTGGGGTTTAAATTTAATGGTGGGGAAGGGAAGACCGTGGAAAGGTACAAACGTTGTGGCAGGGGTCGCAGAGAGCCAAACATTGGGGGAGGCTTGAGAGGGGGCGGTCAGATCTGGTGGTGATTAAAAGGGAGTCGGGTGATTTTTTTGTTAAGTGGAGGGGGGTTGGTGGGCGTAAGTGACAAAGAGACAATTGTTAAGGGTGGTTGAGGTGGCAAGGGGTCAAACGTTGAGGGGACATGAGAATGAAATTGTTTTGCGGCTTGAGGAAATATATTTTTAGAAATCGAATACGTTCACACTCGTTCAGCAAAATTTTTGTATCATTCATTTAGGAGTTGTAGAAGTCAGTGCAAAATGTTGCATGACCCGAAACAAGAATAAAACGGAAAAAAAATCATTTTAATTGATTTTGCATGGGTTATAATAAACTTCGGATTTGAAAAAACCAATGATTATGATCGATTTTTTGTTTCATTTTGTTGAATGAGGGCAACAAGGGAATTGATTTTATTGTTAACCTTGTAGACCAGAAAAATCCTTTATAATTGATTTTTTCCAACTTTTTTTAGATGCGGGATAATTTATAGCTAACTATATACTTGAAAATGGCTGGTTTATCCCACCGCTGATTACTCCTAACTCAAGTCTGCAATCAAAAAAGAATGCAATCTAGAAACTAGAGTCAAAATGTACCAGAAATATTAAAAATATGACTTACAGGCAGCAGCGGATTAAGGGAGGGTGGGGGCGGACGCCTCCCTCTCCCTTTCAGCGATTCGACCCCCTGCCGACCCAAAGGGCCCTCTTTGTACTACTTTGAGATATACATTTTTGGCAGACAGACCCTAAGATTTTCTAAAAGCGCCTTTGGCGCCAAATCTTCCTAATTTTGAGGGGTGAGCTCGAGAAAATCCTAGATCCGTTCCTACTTACAGGTAAAAATTATCATTCTTTTTTGAAAGAATCCCTCTACCCCGGGGAGTTTTTACTCCGTATTAAAGTATATGCTTAACCTTCGAACGAAGAAACGGCTTAGATTCTATAGAGAGGACGCTTCTTAAATAGGCCCGAGAAACAATTATAGCGTAGCGTGCTTGATCGAAGGTGCGTTTTGTTGTAGGAGTGTGCATTCGATGTTGGCTCCTGGGCACACCCTATGGACGAGATTGACATCCAGCCCAGTATGACCAGGTAAAAACAACTCCCCCTTCTAGAATTTCTCTTTGTATTTTGTATTTTTCGTATATTTGGTTTTTGTACATTGTATGCTTGTGTTGAAACATTTCAACGAGACAATCAAAGTGATAAGAGTTTGGCATCCTCTTAGATCAAATTGATGTGTTTGTTTTTCTAAAAGAAGTTAGAGTCGTTCAACCAGCCAGAGACCTAACTTGTAAGGATATCCTTTTCTACTTTCGACCCTAAAAATTTTCTGAATGCGCCTGTGGCGACGATACATATTTTTAAGGGCGTAGAAATGCCGCTTTTTTGTCGAAATCCTACAATAGTTAATTTTGCTTGTTTTTCAAAAATTTGTCTGCGGTTCAGAAAATATGGCCAAAAGGGGCCGTATCATAATTTGGGGGAGCTTGGAAAAGTAATTTGGTCGACCTAAGAAAAAATAGACAAACGAAATTTTTCGCCTCCCCGTTGAGAAATTCTTAGATCCGCCCCTGATCACATTTAAATTCCAACAAATACTAGATTAGTTCATAAGCAAAAAAATGTCACCGCAGATTGAAAATAAGGGAGAAAAAGCGCCGGGAAATGTTTTTCTTATAAATAATCAACCAGCCAGAGATTCAACCCTGAGGTTAAATATCATGAGGTTAAACTAGTGCTCAAATAATAAAGTTCCAAATTTATAGTTTTGTCTGCCTAGGGGAGACCCAGAGACGGGGGAGGGGGCAGTGGTGAATGCAGCCGACCTCTCCTTCTTCACTAACAGTTCACTCTTCACCCTCGCAGAGTTCTCAGTGGAGAAGTTCTACTACAGCGACCCCGAACTAGACAACCGCACTTTCAGCAGTCAGTTATATCTAGTTTACTTAAATAAAAAATTGCTGAACTAATTTTTTATTATCTATTTTACTTCTTTTTTAGTTGATATATTTAAAAAAAGTTTGACTCTGTTTTCGAGGGCGACTTTAGGGGGATTGGGGGAAGGGGGGACGCCCCCTTCCTCAGGGATTCGACAGCCTTTGTACTAATTTGAGATATCCATTTTTGGCTGGCTGATCCTAAATTTTTTCTAAAGGCGCCTTTCGCGCCAAAATATACTAATTTTGAGGGGGAGCGCCTGCCGAAAAAACGCCTGCTGAAAAAATTTGGCCAAAAACAGAGTCTTTTTGGTACTTTAGCAGGGCTCGGAAAACCAGTTTACTCGACCTAAAAAAATTCGACAAAATTTTTGAAATTTTTTTGAAAATCCGCCCCCCCCCCCCCTCGAGAAAATCTAGGTCTGCCCCTGTCTATTTTGCAATCAATTTAAGACATTATACGAATACAAAAAGTGAGAACCGTGACTTTTGGATCTGATCTTTAACAATAAGTGACCGTAAATAAGAATACTTCTTCTCTCCAATTTTATGTAAGGTTATTCAGAGCAACTCTTAGAAGAGGCTTCGGCTCGTGAATTGTCAGTCTGTGCGGAATTATCAAAACATCGTTTGTTGTATTGTAACCACAATAAGTGAATTCAAATATAAAATTTAACAAAATTAAAACCTATTTCGGTTAGTTTTCCTCAATCTTATTGTTTTTTTTTTTGTTATTTAACTAGATTTTCCCTTCTTCAGTGTCCTTTTTTTTATATCACCAACTGGTTTGTTTCTGACCAACGTCTAGCATTTTTTCTTTTTCGCCAGACTTCGGTTTAAATTTTGATTCAAAGATAAATTATTCATGTTTAGAATAAACATTTTTTAGAAACGTAATTATTGGTACCTGAACACATGTGTCTTTTGTAATTAGGACTGTCAAATAAACTTGGTTTTGTTTATCTTCCTTTTTGTCTTTTTTGCTGATGAAAATGATAAATACTTAAGTAATAAAAATTTATTCCATTCAGACATGTGTAAACACATTTGGTAGAAAAAGAACGCAAATATGAAAGTCTTTTCTAAAATGATGTGAAAATAGAATGAGAATCTCAAATCGAAACCTCAAGATTTCATCAGTTGCTTGAAAAATTGATGTTTTTTTAAATGACAAAACAATCATCCAAAATAGATAAGTCACAGTTCAAAAAAAACTCAAATTTAAACTCTGTTCAGGGTAGTTTTCTGCAAATCGACCAATTTTTTGTTGAGAGTAACTTCAGTTTTCCCTGAAACTGAATTTTAAATGCCAGCCAGTTATGGCAAATAAGCGTCATTTGGTTACAAAACTAAATCATTTTTAATTTACAGCAAACTGATCATAATCCTGGGTTGATTAAAAATGCTAGTGATACGAGTTTCAGACATGGCCCATATATTTCAAACATAACTAAATATAAATTGAATTAAGACAAAGAAAAAACATGTAAGTTTATGAAAGTATATTCTCTATACAATTGCTAGTCATACAATTGCCAAATTGGGTGAATGCTACTCAAACTTTTTTATGTAATTTTTTGAATGTATGTGTTTGTGCTGGATAATAAGCATCGACGTTAAAATTGCATAGAAAACCAGCGATTGGCCTACGTTACAGACAAAAAAAATAATTTCGTGCGCAATTTTGTTTTCTGAAAATTTTCTCCAGATTTTTTTGAGACCAAAAATGTAAATACCTTTTTGAGGTTTTTTGAGTTTTTGGTACATTTTTTTTCTAAGAAACGCTAGCCATTCGCATATGTGGAATTATTCGACTTGCATTTATTCGTTAGTTCCATACTTGAAGTTAATCGGCTTGCTTTTCGTTGCATTTTGGTCGCCCCAAAAAATGTTGCAAGGGTGGATCTAGGATTTTTTTGAGGAATTTTTTCTGGGATTTTCTAAGGTCGACTCGATTGATTTTCCGAGCTCTCCTTTCACATTAAAAAGGCTATTTTTGACATGAAAAATTTTGTGTTCATGAAAAAATGTCAAAACATGAAAAAATGTGAAAGTACAAATGCACCGTCAGATAAAGTTCAGGGTTGACTGACAAAAAACGATGCTATATATAATTCCAGAGGATAGATCATTATGCTGTACCCCAGCAGGAAAGACAGGAACGACTGTGATCTACCCAAAATGTTCAACTGGGAAGCAAGATGAAAAACAAGATGAATAAATTGAATATTAACCTTTCATTGATTTTAAACCTATTTTCAGAAAAAGATATTTTATTGTTTTTTTTTTGAAAAAAAAAAAAATGCCATGAAAAATTAGCAAATATATCTATACAAAATGAAGTAAGAATTAGAAAAAAATTTCAGATAAACAGACAATGAGTGTAAGGATAATTTGAAAGTCAAAAGTACAGTTTATCAAAAATTTACTTTCATTCAATCATGGGCGGATCTTTGATTTTCAGCAAAAAACACCGATTCAAGTTTCTTCTTGAAATTTAAGATTCTCACAGCCCGTTATACACTACTCCCCGTCCCGGCCTAAGCTAACAAACCCCCTCTGCAAATCGCTCATTAACGCCTCGACCATCGAAAATTAACGTGACACCGCACCCGTTTCAATGAACGTGATCCTAAGAATGAGAACCCCAATGTGCCAACCTAATTCCTCGACATTCTTGTCGCCATATGAAAATAAGTGAACAAAGTGCTAAAATTTTAAAAACGACAGGAAAAATCCTCTATTCAATTTTGAACAACACAATCTGCCGCTTACGCGTTTCACAAGAACGCGCTTTAACTATACCAAAATGGGCAAAATAGCAGTTATCAAACCCCCAAGTTATAGGATGATAAAATAATCTAATGCTATAACCAAACCAAGTTAAAAGGATAAAAGAAGGTAAAACAGTAAATTACTGAATCATTAGACAATGGTTAGAAAGTGAACTAAATCACTTCTAAGGAGCGAACATAAAGTGAAGGTCAACTACAGGTGATTTTTTTTTATCTTGAGCTGCGGACAATAATATCTTCCGGACGGATAAAAAACTGCCGTCAAATGTGCTTAGTTAAAAAAGCATATCGTGAATAAGTCTCTTAAACCGACCCAACAAGCTGTTTTTGAATTTTTTATAACCTCACGAAAAGTGATCACAGGTGAAATGTTTTTTTTTTTGCATTTGAGCTCAGTATGTCATTACATTCTAGATGATTTTACAAACTATCGAAATTGACTAAACTAAAATTCAAAAATTGACTGAATGAAGGAAACCATCCCAAGCATAACTAGTGTCAAAAACTTCGTTCGAAAGTTGGAACAATATTTACTCCAAGGCTGCCAAACTGACAATAGTTAAACCCTCCAGTTTTATTTCAGAAAGGTTTCTCAGTTACTAATTTTGCCAACTCAAAAGCTCTCAGCATCGATTTTTTGATTGTTCAAAAATGTACGGAGAAAATCTTCAGTTAGCGAAATGATTATATCGTGTTCAGAAAAAAACTTGACTTCGGTAATGTCAAAGGGGGGACCCTTTGGTTCGCGATGTGGTTGAATGCCTGAGGGCGGGGCGGGGGGGGGGTATGCGTTTGCCCAATCGCCCCCTAAATCCACCCTGGTGAGCAGTACATCAAAGTCAACTGCTTGTGAGATTGCTTGTGCTTGTATCAGGGCGAAGCCCTGAATGTTCCGACTGCCTTTTGCCTTTTAAGGTTTATTGAGCAGCAGTAATAACATTTAAAAAATTAAATGAAATAAAACAAAATGAAAATTTTTTTTCTACAGTTTGAAATTTTTTTTGAAATCATCCCCCCACTCGCCATATAAAGTACAAAAGGATAGATTTCGCTCCTACCAATTATGGCAAATAAGATTCGTTCAACCAATTTTGAACGATTTATAAGACGGATTAAATCTCCGCTTACGCGTTAATAGCGCGAATTATATCGCGCGTTAATTGTCCCAAATTGGTCAAAATGGCCAAAATGGCAATCTTTAAACCCTCATAACTTCACGAAAAATGATCACAGGTGAAGTATTTTTTCAAACTTAAGCTCAAGACAACAATAGCTTTCGAATGATATAAAAAAATTCCGTCAAAAATGGCTAGTTAAAAAGTCGAAATTTGTCTGAAGAAAAAAAAACCCACCCCGAGCACAAATCCGTTTTTTTCGTATCGAAAGTCGGAACAACAAGGTTTGAACTATGAGTATTTTACAGAAAAGTCAATTTAGGAGAATCTCTGTTTTTAGTTGTTTTTGATATCGACCTTTTTAAACTTTAGTGCATTATCAGAAAAAAACTTCAATTAGGTCCAATACCTTTAAAAACTATTCTAATAATTCATAAACAATTTTAATATTTTTTTTGTTGAAAAATTGATTTAAAAAAGTTTTTTTTTCATTTTTGCTTCACTTGATCTCCTCTTAAAGTACACAGAAATCTATTAAGCCCAATATCGTATCCTAATAAAAAAGACCAATTTATATCATTGCCTTAATTTGGAACGCGACTCAGAACAGCAATATATCCATCTCCAAACATTGGTTTACCAATCCGATGTTCGTATGATGCTAGTAATCGCTGCAGCTAGAGATTTTCATTGAAATTCGCTCAAGTGATTTTTCTTATTAAAAAAACAACGCATTGCGCATTTCTTATCTTCAAAGAAAAAAGTCTTCTAAATCGAACTTTTAGTTCCAAATTGATACAAAACAATCATCTTTACTTCAAACTTCAATAAGCCTCTCGTCCTAAAAAGACGAGGTTTTAACGGCTGTAAATTAGAGTTTGGAGGGAGAACAAATTAGAAATGGACCACAAAATGGAGAGCAATATTGCCCTTAATTTGCTCCTCCAAGGGTATGCTTTTGACACATTTTAGACCAATTAATCAGGGAAGCTATTTCCTATGTTCCCTTCCCATTTTACTCTTCTTTGTTTTTGATTGTTAATTTTTTGCCCTGCAGTTTTGCCCGAGATTTGAAAAGA